CTTTACAGTGTGGAGCACCAGGAGCCTCTAACCTCAAACAGCCTGCCTGTTCTGGAAAGTATTAGCAGTTGCAATGGGTGCACAGCTGAGCTATCCTCTTGGCAGACTGTCAGGCACACATACTGTAGCTGCACAAACACATTTAAGTACATACACACACATACGCAACACCTATTAAAAGTATTCATTACCCCCACCCCCCACCCCTTTGATTTTTGCACATGACTTTTGATATTTTATTGTTTTACAACAGTGAATCACATTAAATATAATTGGGGTTTTTCACATTTATAAGCACAAAAATACACAAGTCAAATCTAAAAAACAAATATATTCTTATTAAAATTAAGTTCACATACAATATACTAATTGACCGGCTGTAAGCTTTGCACATGTAGACAATTTTTCACATTTTTAGTAAAACTGCTGAAGCTCTGACAAGTGACCCCGAGTGACCCTGACCGCTCCAGAACATTAAGCTTATTGTATGTAATGAGTTTTTTTAATGTAGAACCACAGTGCTGTTGAGCTTAACATTCCCTTAGTTCTCAGCAGCAATGACTTCATGAGCTTCTTTACAAATAAAATCACAATTAATAGAGAAAAAATTGGTCAGACCATTCCCACAGCTCTCGCGGATGTGCCATCTACTACAATGGCTTTAGACCACCACACCTGTAAGACCTCATTTATAATTGGACTACTTCTCTCCCATAGATCTCTCTGAGTTGACCTCAACAATTGCTTAATTTAAATCATCAACATGTCTCCTGGACCCCATCCTGACCAGGCTGCTCAAAGACGTCTTTCCCCTAATCAACACATCCATACTAGATCTGATTAACCTCTCTCTATTAACAGGCTGTGTTCCACAGGCTTTTAAGGTTGCAGTAATTAAACCTCTACTCAAAAAGCCTACTCTTGACCCAGGTGTCCTAGCTAATTATAGACCAATATCCAATCTTCCATTTATTTCCAAAATCCTTGAAAAAGCTGTTGCAAAGCAGTTATGTGTTATGAACGCTTGAACACAGAGATGAGTGAGCAGAAAAAAAGACAGACCCAGGTAGCTGGCTTCGGTGCAAGCAGTGATATTTATTTACAGTGTGGTAATGTGCAAACATAGAGAGGTGAAGTGTCACGATTTGGTTCCGTTGCTTCCTGTCCAGCTTTTATTTTGACATTACGTCCTGTTTTTGTTTCACCTTAGTTTCGGTCTTTTTACGTTCTTCATCACTCACATTAGTTTCACCTGCTTCGTTACTATGTGCACCTGTTTACACCTCTATTTAGGCAGCGTCCTCCCCCCAAGGACGCTGCCAGATTGTTCTAGACCCCAGCTCTGACTTCCCAGCACTGTATTCGGTTTTTGGTATTTGTGTTTCTGACTCGGACTGTTATTTTGTTTTTTGTTTAGTTTTAGTTCTCTTAATAAAGAGACGGTTTTGTTTTACACTTCCTCGTCTGGCCATTTAATTGAGTTCACAACACTTTTCGGCCGCATTACGCGCGCCGTTTCTGACAGTACAATCTGGCCAAATTGAACTCAGCCAGGATGTCAGAGCCAGGTAATCACTAGCCTTGCTATACGCACCCACTGTCACACACATACCATGGAACTCACGGACACACCCGACGCTGTTGGGCAGAACCTAAGCAGGCTCTGCTACCAGCTCTACAACCTCCACCTCATGGAGACCTACCTGAGCCCAGCAAAAGCTCAGGAGGTCTACCAGAGGCTACAGGCCCAGTCGGTTTCTCCGCTCTCCAGCCCCGCACAGAGCCCATCTCCCTTCGAGGGAACCCGGTGGGTTATATGCCCTGGGGGTCCAGGGAAACGGCGGACCAGGACGAGACCGTCACCTGGGGCCGCTGTTCCTGTACCCAGTCTCCAGCCCCAGCAGTCCAAGCCACGCCGGCTGCAGCCTCCAGAGGCTCAGCCAGCA